AAAAAAACTGTGACATGGTAAATCTGAAGAAACAAGGAAGGAAGGAAAAAGGGGAAAGAATTTTATTGCAGAAAATAAGCAATAACCTAGAGATAATAAAAGCAAAGAACTACAAAAGTTCTTTGAAGCTTAATAGGCTAGGTATAATTCCAGGAAAACTGATAAAATATACATTATGAATAAAAACAAAATAGGTAAAAGAAATAATTATGGATTACATTATTCTGTTAAAAAAAAGAATGAGTTTTTTTTACCAATAAAGATCAATTTAGGTGAAAAAAATGATTTAGGATAAATTTAGGCTAAAAAATTGATGCAAGGGGAAAAATGTAATCAGTAACCATTAAATAAATTGTAATGCTTCTCAAAACAATCCTGTGATATAAAAATAGGCCTAGTAGTTTGACAAGTAGTTCTATTTAAATCTCAAGGAACAGAAAATCCTTGTTTATCAAACTTCTTATAGAACAAAGAAAAGTCAACATATAAGTTTGATTTGTTTTAAAACAAAACTAGGTAAAAAATATTGGCTAACTTCATTTATGACATGAAAAACACTAAATTCAAATCTAGCCGTATGTTAAAAATAATTGTGACTAAGTTTAATTTTTCATAAGCGTGAAAGGATGTTTCAGCATTTAAAGTGTTACCATAATTTATCACATTAATGGCAAAGAACAAGAGGTTGTGTGATCAATGACAAAAACCATTTAATAAATCTAAGTTCTTTTTCTTTTTTTTAAATGGAATCAACCCTTAGCAGACTTAAAATAGAGATTTTTTTTTTGTTTTTAGGTTTGTTAAAGCCTTTAACCAAAAACCTATGGCAGATACCGTTTTTAGTGGAACAGAGGTTTAAACTCATTCCCTCATTCCTTTTAAGGTTGGGAGCAAGACAAGGATGCCTGTGTTAATTCTGCCTTTCAGCACATTACCAGATGCCTGACCAATGCAGCAAGACAAACCAACAAAAGTAGAAAGATTGAAGTGAGAAAGATAATTGTCATTATTTCTAAGTAAAATCATTTATATAGAAAACCAAAGAGAATCAGCAGAAACTTTTAATAGCAATACAAGGGTTCAGCTAGGTTGCCAGCTTGTAAGAGCAAAATATAAAATTCAATAGCTTTCCTCTGTATTGGGAATAACCAATTATAAACTATGATGATAAGATACCATTTATAATAGTGACATAAACTAAAAGCTATCTAGGAATAAATCTAAGAATTCATAAAACATAAAGGAAATTTAAAACCCTATTACAAGAGTTTTATTATGGTATTATAGAACATAAATGCAGCATCCATAAATGGATTGATTGAATATTGTGAAGGTGTCGGGTTTCCCCCATTAAAATTTAAAATCAGTGTAATTCTAATCAACATCTGAGGAATAAATTTTTTCAAGGGGCAGAGTTGAATCTCAAATTTATATGGGTGAATAAAGAAGAATCCTCCTTTTGCAAGGCATTCACGTTATATAATAGGAGTTGACAAACTACAGCCCAGAAGCCAAGTCCAGGCTGCTGCCTGTTCTTATGAATAAAGTTTTATTGGGACACAGCACATCCATTTATTATGTATTGTCTTTGGCTGCTTTTTTGCTGCCGTAACAGGGTTGAGTGGTTACAGCAGCCTGTGTGACCGGCTGAATCTGGCCCTTTAGAGAAAAAAATCTGGCACCTCTGCTCTTTAGTATCTAACATAGAATCAGAATATTGGAAGTACAGACTCATTCCTTTGTAAATACAGGGATTTGGTGTAGTTATTCCCAGCAATTGGTGCTAGGAAAATTGTTTCACAAAAGTAAAAAACAAAACACATTTTTGTAACTCCTACTGTAAGCAAAATCCCAAGTGGATTAAGTAGCTGTTAAGAATGAAGCTATAAACCTGATAGACAAAAATTTAAGACTGTTATTTTTATAACCTTGTGGTAGAGAAGGGTTTGTTATGTAAGTCACAGAGCACAAGCCATAAAAAGAAAATTAATGAATACATCAAAATGAATGCTTTTTGTTTAATGGATCATATGATAGGAAAACTAACAGATGGTAAAAATATAATTATCATGTTTAAAAGACCAAGATCAATATTTAAATATACAAAGGACTCTGAAAAATTGGAAAATAGAAGGGAGGAAACTCCTATAAAAGAAGGCAAAATGTGAGTTGGCAATACAAGGAGAAATACATAGGTCACATTGGAGACAAAGTAAAACGAAGGGATTCCATTTTTGCCTCTCATAGCAGTAACAGCTAGGATATCAGAGGCTCACAAGTGCTGGCAAGGATGTGAGAAAATAGAAATCTGCATCTATTACTTCTGGGAATGCGAACTGGTGCATTTATTTTAGAAAATCCAGATATTAAAAACAAATAATGGGACTCAAGCCTACACACTCAGGGAAATCTATGTAAGGTGGCCACCACAGTGGTATTTGTGGTACAAGATGGGAGACAAGCTAATTCTTCAGCACTAGAGGGACAGGTAAGGAAAATTACAGTGTAATATAGTGAGAGTGAATAAGCAGTAGAAAGGAATGAATTCATTCCTTATCTACTTAGAGCAACATGAATTGAGTCTCTAAAACAGTGTTGAGAAAAAAAGCAGAATGAGATTTAAAGCATGATACAATTTATATACAAATTTTAAGGAAAATACAAAATGCAAATAAGATGATAAACAATATGTTATGAAAAAGTGAAGCTCTGTGATGGAAAGAATGGGGCTGGGCATAGTGATGAAGGAGAAATGGTAAGAAAAATCAGATGAAGAGCCTTTCAAGGACTCCTAATAGGAGCTCGTCAACTAAGCCTGTGCTTCAGGCAATTCCGTACGATAATCCTTGAGAGCAAACACATTCTGGGCATGCTATTCCTTACAGCATTGTTAGATCCAGGTGCTCAAAAAATGTCCTAGGAATGGGTCTCTATCTTGGCTCTGACGGCCTCCTTGTGGGCTCTGGATGTCAGGTAGACTCTACTCCGTGTAACCTCTAGTTGTTGCAGTTCATGTCCTACCAAATTGGCAATTCAGCAGGAAGAAAGTTCTTTCTCTGTACTGTCAACAGTAATCCTCGCATGGATCTCCTTTCTTCCAGTGGCTCATTTTTTGTCCTGTTCCACTCCTGAACCAGTCACATGACAGAAGTCTAAGGATGTCTGGATTACTTTCCTGTCCCTAGAATCAGGCAGTGGGAATAGCCCCCTAAACAGAATACAGTGGGGTGTTACCCAAAGAAGAATGTGGGGGCTATGGCCAGAGATACAGAAAGTAAATGCTGGGCAGGCAAAAACAAAACAACAAAACAAAACACCAAGAGCTGCAGTGGAATTGAATCAATGCTGTTTGCAGAAGGACTGAAATGAAGTGCCATATTTATTTTAGAAAAATGGGAAATGAGTAAAGGTTAACTCTAAATATCTGAAGCACTACCCCTTGCGTGCTCCTTGTTTCATATGGCCCTAAGGCATAAATCCATGACAAATAAATAGACTTGGTGGGAAGGACAGCTGTGTAATTGCTGGAATTGTCTTAGAAGCAATGGGTGGTGAACTTCCCACTGCTGGGTATACCCAAGCATAGCCTAGCCAGCTAGTTGGCCAGGATTCTGTAGGGAAGGACCCAAGGATTGGGAGACTAGTTGGGTTTGATCATTGTTCTGAATCATCTGGACAGCTTATTCAAACATAGATTGCTTGGCTCTTCTCCCAGAGTTTCTGGTTTGATAGGTCCAGAGTAGGAATTTACAGAATTTACATTTCTAATTAGTTCCCAGGGGATGCTGATGTTGCTGATCCAGGAAACCTACCTTGAGAACCACTAGGTTAGATGATTCTCAATGTCCTTAATGGCCTTTCATGAGCTAGTTGTAAATGTTCTGAAAATCAGTATTTGTACCATTGAGGCAAACCTTCCATTTTATGTCTCTGTCCCTGAAATGTTAGGTTCTTGCTATGTGGGTACTTCTAGATGACCGTAGATGACCTTTGCGTGGCCCTCTGTATCTTTTGAGTCATTGAGAACATCAGAATCATTAAACAATTGTACACTTATTGTTATGCTTTATATAATAGTCAACCATTTTCTGACGACGTCCTTTTTGTAATCCAATTTCTGGTTTCCCATGGGTTGAACTATTTTCATAGTTTTGCAGCGGGGTGGTTTCTAAATTAGAAAAATGAATGGTTTCCCAAGGAGGTTGTGTCTTCGTCATTCAGAAGTAACTTTGCCTGGTATGGGCATCTGACTGTTGGAAAATTATTGCCTCACACCCCAGATGCCAAGCGCCAACTATTCCTTCAACCACCCCTGCACCCCCGTGGCTTTCCCCCCAAAAGAGGAGATGGAACATTTCACACACCTTGCTGCATCTTGGCTCTGCATCAGCCAGGAGTTCTCATTCTTGAACTCTGTTTTGCCTTTTCTTTTTCTCAAAATTTTTCCCCATTTTGAAATTTTTACTCTAATAGTTCTCTCAGAGTGCTCATGTTTTTGTAGTTGTAGGCAAGGTCAAATGGTGGTTGTATTTTTTCTAAATTGCTTTTATATAAATAGAGATAAAACCATTTGAGAAAATCACTTACGAATTAAATGGTTTATAGGCAGTGCTTAACAATTAAAAATTTCATCTTAGCAAAGATGATGAAATGAATGGGTAAAAATGAGCCGACAGGTAGCACCTAGCAGATTTGGGTTAAAGTGACATCTTGAATCACAGAAGGATTTAAGAAGACTTTTTTGTTGTCTAAGTGCAAGCTTCTGCTTCAAAACACTCCAAAGCAAGACAAGGCTGGGTAGGCAGAGGAGAGTGTATGTTAGGAGGACTTGCCCAGAATCCATCTCAGTGGATATTAAGTGGGAGACAGCTTCAATGACATCTTTGCAACTAAAAATCTGTAGTAATGGGATTTGCTTTCTTTAAAGTTGTGTATAATCTGTGTTTCTCATCTGAATTTTATAAAAGCTCATTTCCTAAATCATTTTCTCTTTCAGGCTTCAACTGTGAGGAAATGTCATTCCGATTTGGCCAACACCTCATCAAGCCCTCTGTGGTTTTTCTCAAAACAGAACTGTCCTTTGCTCTTGTGAATAGGAAACCTGTGGTACCAGGACGTATCCTTTTTTTTTTTTTTTAAGAGAGGAAAAATAAAAACCTCTGAACTTAACAGACCAGAGGAATACAGCGTTGGCCTCCCATGTCCTTCTGCAAAGGTAAACAAGGAATCTACCTTCCTCCCCCTTTGGAGAAACCAGGTAGGATGTTGCATTTATTCCGAATCCAGTTGGTGGCACCAGTAATATGCTTGATCAATGTTGCAGAACTTCTGAAAAGAGTTGCTTAGCAACCGTGGCTTTGGAGGTGAATTTTTACTTGACCTTTTCACTCTTGTAGCCGTGTAAATAAATAGGTGTGTCTAAAGGGGCCCAATGAATATCATGAGTGCTTTGTTTTCAGTTATCAATTGTGAATAATAATAATAAGATAGAAATTGGGTGGCACTTTTGTGATGTGGAAATAAGGTATTACATGAAGACTTGAGACTGGCTTGGTGTCTTTACTTCTTAGAGATCATTCAAGCAAATGCATACACAAATATACCTACAAAACAGTTGTTTTCATTTTAGAGTCTGAAATAGCATTTTTTTTTTTTTTTCTTGGAGAGCATCGCAACTTCAGTGTCCTGGTGGTAGAGTTGTTTTATTTCTCTCTGACCATTGAGTTGTAGTCTTTCCTCCTGTTGACTTCATTAGAAGATTTATTCTTTGCCATGGAGAAGCAGGAATTGGTGAAATATTCTGGAGTTATTTTTATGTTGCTGAAAGTATTCACTTGTGACTGTGTGCATATGACTTTTGTACTGACTGTCTAGAATTTTTTTTGTTTTCCCTCTATGTAGAATGCAACTTTTTCCACACAACAATGTGATTTTACTTTGAAATAAATGTTTCCATAATTCTGAATGTATAAATCTATAAATGTTGAGATTTGTTCCCAGAATAAGATATATATAATTTATATAAAATATATTTATATATTTAATATTCTATATTAATGTATTAATATATTTTCATATTAATTGTATTATATTTATATTAGTAATATATTAATATTTTATATATGATCACATATATGTAATATTGACTGATAACTGGTTTTATATATTATAAATATATAAAAATATATAAAAAATATTATATATTTTTCCATAATATATAAATATATATATACACACACACACCCTCATGGGAGTTTTCAAGGTGTTTGAAAACTTTAGGAATAATCTTCTTTCTTGTCCATATAACTGTTGTACATTGAAAATAATAATAAGAAAACATATACTGAAAGATAATTGTGATTTTATGATAGATGCCCAAATTCCTTGAATTTAATTTTAGCTAAATTTTGTAAATTTGTGAAACTAATCACAGCAGTAAACTACTAAATGATATGTGAATGACTACTTGATATTTAACTCTTCTTTTAAATGTATAAAAATAGTCTACATTATAAATATTAGAAAATATTCTCTATTGAAGTAAAAATAAAAACTAGAATGGTTCAGGAAGGTCCTCTAAAAAAGGACAATTTAAAAATTGTATACCAATTTTATATTGAGTTCTTCTAAGAGACTGTGAAGTTCTTAAAATAACAGAAGTGTTTTATTTTTTCATTTGATTTTGCTGCAATTTCTGGTTGTCTTTTTCCTCTGAGGAATTTTTTTTTTTTTTTTAAAGAAAATGCTTGAGAATTCCAGTGTCAGAAGAATATGGTTGAAATGCCATAGGTATCTGTTAGAGTGCTAGCTTTAGTTGACTTCTATCTTGTATCAAAGAGGGGACCTGGGATGAAAATGTGATTTTAGATGAATGCATTTTAATACCTTGGCCTGGAAAAATGTGAGGTTGCCAAGTTGTACTGCCTTTTTAATGGTTAATAATGGATTGCATTTAGCTTTATTATTTTTTTTTACTTATATATTGATACTAAGAAACTTGACTTTTCATGGTCTTTTTAACCCATTTGGCATGTGTGATACAAGACGTGGGTCATATGCATGTTTGTACTTAAGTTGTGGTGTCTGCTTCTAGGGAAATGCCTATTCTGAGCAGTGAACAGTTACTGACTGATAACTGGTTTTGTTCCAGATGGCAGTGGAATTGCCACTTTGAAAATGGGTCCTGGTCAGTTCTCATATCTTTGAGTAAATGCCAGGGATGCAGGGGATATTGTATTAAAATGAACAAACCTGAGTTTGTTTGGAAAGTAGCAAGAAGGAGCCAACCCTTTCTGGGGATAACAGAACCAAGACATTTTTATAATCTGTATACTTCATGAGGCTATTTCGTATCTGCAGGGTTTAAAGGGGTCTCAGGGCCAATAGATAATGTATTCAGACAATCTGATAATTTTGTGATTTTTTTTTTTTTTAATTTCACTTTACCTTTGTAAACTCCGGTGATAACTGTGAGAAGAATCTTCATATGTTACTCATTCACCTGCAGAAAGTGATATTCTTTTGTCTTGTGATTTGGGAATTGAAACTGGCTAGCTCTGCCCATTAACATTTCCTAAAATAAATGGTGAGATGTCTGCAGTGGGCTTTCATCTTCCCCCAGTGTTCTCTTCTGCCTGCCCTAGATCAGCTCCCTGGTGTGGGTCTCCTAGGTCTTCCAGCTCCCTGCACCCTGCCTGCTCCTGGACTCCACTTGGGCCCACACCTCCTAGACCTCAAGGCTCCCATCTTCTCTTGCCTTCCTATTCCCTTGCAAATAAACCACTAATGAATATAATGAATCTTTTTTTCCCCCCTGAAGATAAAGTCCAAAATCCTTAGCATGGTTTTAAAAGATTTTCATTATTTTGACTCAGCCTTACCCCTTTCCAACTATTTCCTAAAGAGATGTGGCATTTCCCTTCACTGTGTCCCCCCCCCCCCGCTCCTCTGCCCGTCTCTGCACCGGGATTCCTTCCCATCCTTTTTCGGTTCAGCTAAGATGTTTTGATACCTGGCTTGCCCTTTCAGGAAGAACATATTCAGTCCTTTCTGTGACCCTTGGCTCCTTATTTGCATGTTGATTCATGAAGCAGTTTATTCCTGAGCTCCTATTCTGTTCCAGGCACGGTGCCAAACACTTACCCAGTCTGCCTCAAGTCAGAACTATGTGCATTCTTACTGGCTCTGTGCTGAGTCCTTAGTTCCTGGAAAGGGGTGCCGCAGGACCTGCTCTTGCACATCTTTTTCCTCAGCATCCAAAGTTCTATCTTGACTGAATTTAAAATGAAATGATAAACATAAGGATCATATAGATAATTTCAATGAAGGGGGGCAACAAGGGTGCATGGAAATCCTGCCTTTTCAGTATTCCCGAACACCAACCAAATCTCGTTCCCATTTTATTCCAGGTTTTTTAACATCCTATTCAAGCTGAATTTTTTAAACTTTCCCTTCCTGCCTTGTCAGTTGCAATCTTGTTTACATTTCTGTGTTACAAGTATACAGAGTTAAGTCTAAAAGTGGTGAATGAACTGATGGCAGATGGGGAAAGATTCTTTTTTTTTTTTTTGTGGTGTGTTAATTTTCAGTGGACAAGTCTGCACCTTAAGGGCAATATATTGGCATCTTTATGCAAATGGGAAAATTCTATTTTGTATTTATGATGATTTCTTTTAAAAAAGAGTATTCAGGTGGCCTTTGGGGAATGTGCCATTCATGAGACTTGTAAATGTCATCTTTCAACTTGTGTGCGCTCCAACATTTTGCTCCCTCTCCCCAACCCTTTTCTTCTTATGACTTTGCTCACTGACTTTTTCATACCTTTCAGAGGAGGAAAAGAACTGTCAGATCAGGGGCCAAAGATAAGCTTTTGAAGCAAGACTATTTGCTTCGTTCTCAAAAGACCCACTTCAATCCCTCCTTGTCCCCACCTAAAGCAAATACTTCTGTTCGTTGCAAACAAGTGTTTAAAGCTGATTGAATAGGCTTTGGCCTCTGTGGTACAACACTCTAGAAGGATATGTCAGAATGTCTTTAATCCATTAATTTCTTGTTACTGGAAAATGCTTTTCAGAGTGTCTTGGTGAGAGAACAGAAGCATTTTGGAGATTGCATCTTCAGAATTCTGCAGTGAACATTCTATTCATGTACCTCAGTGCAGTCCAGCTGTTGTTCGTGGCTTAAATAAATTTGAACCAGTATGGTTAATACTTCTCCAAACCCCATTCCCTTGCATTATGCTAGGTCTATCTCCCATCTTGAGCATGAACAATGGATTTGAGCGTTAGTGGAATCCATTTAGGGACTGGGGCTTTTTATTGTGAATAAAATTATTCATTTGTTATGTCCTGTTGTTTTCAGCAGACTCTGTATTGATCTTTGGATTGCTATTCAGAATGGCATGAGGAGCTCTAACGTAAGGGGAACATGGCAACATTTGTGAACGGGTTGAATACAGCATGTAATGACAGAGATAAACCTGGCTCGCTGGCCATACTGTATTTTACAAATCATTTGTCAACACTTTATTGAATCAGTTATTAAAAAAAGCAGACTTTTCCAAATAGAAGCATCGCACACCGAGTGTTATCAAGTCCAAACAGTGTTAGGATGATGCACTGAGGACAGCCTTATGAAGTATATTTGTGAAGAATTTGACTATGGAACTTGAAAGATATTTCTGCTGAATATTAGAAACAAAAGTTTGGCACAATGGAAATTGTGCTCTAAGGTCCCACTTTAATACATAAAAAGGAAAACTCTGGCAAATGCCTTCCAATATACAGTTTTACCTTTCTGAACGAGCAAGTTTGCTGTTTTTAGACCATTGCCATCTTGAGTACTCCTGAAGTGAATGAACAAATAATAAAAATAGTCTCATTACTTAACAGTGCTTCTTACGGACTGGATGCTATAGATAAAAGTGCCCTTTTAGTTCTTCCATAAAAATCAGAAATATTTGTCATTTCCTGAGTAGGTTGTAATCTTGTGAATTTCTTTAATTGTTCAGGAAACTGCAGTTATTAGTGATGTGATGATCTTTCATTTCTCAAGAGTTTCTTTTTAAACCTTCCTGTGCAAATAAAATGAGCACAAGCACTATATTAATATCCTTAT